AGCTCGCCCGTCACCCTCGACGACTTTTACTCGCCCGTCCAACGGCCAAATGGTACGCCATAAATATATTCACACACATATCTATACAGATATATTGATGTAACCCGTCTCTCTTCCCAGGTGTACTTGGACGCGTGGGCTATAGAGAACTCCTGGAACCACTGGTCCGAGAGGCTGGCCACGGTGGATCGGTTGTACGACCGTACATTCGGGAACCTGGCTCGCAAGGCATGTTTTTTCCTTCCTTTTCATTTTGTAAACATATTATCAATATGAATATATTGTTATATATTTATATATATATTCCATACAAGGTCCAAATGTGCATATATGTGGTCAGGTTGTATCGCATGTACCGCACACGATCGACAGGCGCATCGCGCGCGACCTCGAGGCCCGCTGGCCGGAGGAATTCCAACGCACCTCCTCCCACAGCTTCCGCACCAACGACGACATGCCGTACCCCATGGCCTACGTCTACTTCATGATGCACCAGGTACCGCTCACACGACACACGACACACGACACACGACACACACGGCACGACACACGGCACACGACACACATGGCAGAAACGACGATGTGTGTGGTGATCAGTTTCTGGCGGTGGAGAAACAGAACATAACAGTGCTGGACAAGTCCTTCCGCCTCGACCACCGGGAGCTGAGGCGCGCTTTCATGAGCGCCCACCTGCAGCACCTGGACCACATGGCCTACTTCGAATTCCTCACCCAGCTGCACCAATGCCTCAATTCCACGACGTCGGCGACTCCACCACAACAGGCGACGACAAAAACCACGACGACGACGACGACGCTCGGCTGGAATGCGCGCGTGGCGGCGGTCGAGAGGGAGGAGGAGTATTTCGGCCGAAACCCGGTCGGCCTCGACGCCCTATTGGCCTGCATCCCCGACGGCGGCCCGCACGAGAACCGCCATTGGTGGCTGGCCCGGCGCGGCGTCAACCAGTTACCCTCGCCCTTCCTTATTATTTCGGTTTGGGTTTGGGTTTGAAAGCTGACTTTGGCAAACAGTTTCGAAGTGCTGGATGCGGGACTGCTGACAGAAATAGTAAATCGTTTTTACTAAATTATTATATTCTTGTTGTGCGACACAGCGCGACCGTGTCGGGAGCGGCTGGTGCGGCGGCGGCTGCTGGGGCTCAGCTTGAGTCGCGGGCGCTGCCGTGCTTTTGGCTTCGCCTCCTGGCGGAGGAGCCCTTGCGGCCGGGCTCCAGCTGCTTGGCGCGTCGCATCAGGTCCACCACCTCGAGCGACTCCGGCGCCAGGTTGTAGAACAGCGGATGCTGTGTTGTGTGTGTGTGTGTGTGTGTGTGTGTGTGTGTGTGTGTGTGTGTGTGTGTGTGTGTGTGTG